CGTTAAGTTTCATCTTTAACTAGTCTCATATATATATTTATATATATATATATATATATGATTCACACATGCACATAAATATTGCCATATACTTGCATCGATAGTTCCTTTGTATTATACTAGCCCATTTGTCTTTCATGCTTTCTCACCTTCACTTTCTTCATACCCTCCACCTACCCACCCATCGATACACACACACACACACACACACACACCCACACATGCACACGCAAATACGCTCACCCACATGAACATCTGCGTGTATACACGTAAATGGATGCACGCATTCCTCTTCTACATTCAGCAGCCGACTTTGTCTCCGCTTCGGATATTCAGGCTAAGGCAATCGCCTCCGACGCGGTCAGTCTGTCCTGGAGGCACACGGCTCCCGGCTCCTCTGTTCCGCAGTGCCAGTACACGTACACAGTCAAGTGGCGTGTGAAGGGCATCAGCACAGATTTGGGCGAGCAGAATGTCGGCTGCGCTAAAAGTCAGCTTTCGCATACGCCCTAAAAGCTTGCAATCTTCTTAAATCTTTCTTCTGTAAATGGGTGTGATGCGTGAAAGCTGGATCTCGAGGTTTGTGTCAGGGTCAGATTACTGCTGCCATTATAGCCTCAACTTGGTGTAGCAAAAGGTTGAATTCGTGAAAATATTCTGTCTCGGGAAAGCTTGACAACAGTTTTGTACATCTTAAAGACGCGTATTAAGTAAGCTATAAATCTTATTTTCGTTTGCGCGACCTAAACTAACTAATGTGCTTATTCAACATTTAATGATAATCTCATTAACTACTTACTACCTATTGAGTAGTTTCGCAGCCTAGAGCCAATTCTTAAGGGATAGTGATAAACATTGTTGCAAAGAAAAGTTAGGTTTAGAGCAATCTCTTGTCTCATAATTGTTGAGCTTACTTCCATTTCGAATGAAATTTTTGGGTGAAGAGATTCGAAGGTCGGTTCCACCAGAAGATGACGGCGGATTCCTCTTGACCAGCTGTTGATTGGTTTTACTGGAACATTCATGCTGATGCTGTTTCCGAGGCAATCTCTTTTGATTCCGGTAAAAAGTTACTAAGCTTTCGTCCGTCATATGACGGACATCATCAGAGCAAGGTACCATCGTCACAACAAAATTCAAGCCAACGAGTCAAGAAAACTCACTGGCAAATCCCTAAAAAGTGGTATTTATACTTTTCATCTG